CTGATTCCCTGTGTACTGGGCCAGGGGCCTTCTTCCTTCATGGAAAAGCTATCAAAGCTGGGATACTCAGCCACCCTTTCACATCCTTACCCTAGGGTCAGGTAGGTGGGGTAGGGTGGCCCTATAACCCAGCTTCTTTCTCAAACTCCTATTGTGATGTGCACCAGCCTTTCTTAGGGGCCCTTTCCTCTCGGCCACCAGCTTCTTGGCTTTATCTGAAGGTACAAGGGTGAGGCTCTGTCTCAAGGATCTTAACATCCACCTCACCCTTCTGCAGGGCTGGATAGGGAAAGCCAGAGATGGTTGGGGTTTTCTACTCTGTGCAATCCAGTACATGCCAGCAAAACCACAACTGGCTAGACAGAGTGGGGGTCGGGTCAGCACGGCCTCAAGTATTAGCTGCCCTCTGAGTACAGACAGGTTTGCCTCCCAGAAGGACAAGGTGAGGGATGCACTCTCCCCTGAGCCTACCCCAGCAAGGCCCAAATCTCACCAGCAAGTCTGAGGCCATAGACCTGGCTTAAGAGTACCTTCTGCTTGAGTTAACCTGCAAAAGGAGCACTAGAACCTGGGTCACGCCCCAGCTCTGTCCAAAACACAGTTCCTTCCCAAACCTCAGGGACTGGGTAAGTGGAAAGGGAGCGTCTCTGGCCTCCCTGCTGAAATGTAGGAAAAAAACAAAAACAAAAGCAAACCAGCTCTGGGCCAACCGGGGCGTAGTGGTTAAGGTGGGCCACTGGATCCCAGGTGGCTAACTGTGCAGTTCAAGTTCTGGACCTGGCAGCTTGAAAAACATGCCAGGGGGAACCAGCAGTTAGCGTAACGGCTATGTCGCTGGACTCCCACATAGTCGACCGCGGTTCGCGTCCCGGACCTGGTGGCTTAAAACTCACACCGGGCACGTGTGTGTGCGTGCCTAAGATCCCAAGAGGAGAATGGAGGAGAAGGGATTGCAGCGTGACCATCCTCCCTGGGGGGTGATTTCTCGCTTTCTGTCTCTATGTCTCTCTCTGTCTGTCTGGTGAGCGCATGCGCCCTATAGCGAAAATCTCTCAAAAAAAAAAAAAAAAAAAAAAAAGCCAGGCACATGTGTATGCCCAAAATCCCAAGAAGAGAATGGAATAGAAGGGATTACAGAGTGGCCATTCCCTCTAGGGTGTGCTTTCTCTCTCTCTCGCTCTCTCTTTCTGGCAAGTGCACATGCCTCATAGCAAAATTAAAACAAAAGCAAAAACAAGGGAACAGAAGGTGGCATGTGGCCGACCATGGTTTGAGTTCTGGACCTGGCAGCTTGAATCTCATGTGTGTGTGCATGCCCAAAAATCCCAAGAGGAAAATGGAGGAGAAAGGATTGCAGCATGGCCGTCCCCCTGGTGGGTGATTTCTCACTTCCCTTTCTCTGTTTCTGTCTCTCTCTGGTAAGCGCACACACCCTATGGCAAAAAACTAAAACAAAAACAAAAGCTGTTAAACTGAGCCTTCATGTGGAGAAGCTGAACAAAGATGTGAAACCTTTCTAAATAGAGAGGGTGGGAGAGTCCAGCAGGTAGCATGGTGGTTAAGGTGCTGGAATGCCACATGGTTGACTCCTCCTTTTTTTTTTTTTTGGGCTTTTTG